TTTAGGAGACCACCCATATGTTTTGTACACAGTTGTCAATCGGGGACCCTCTGTCAATCGGGGACCTTATTGTCCTCTATTGTTCAGGGTCCCCAATTGAATGCAGAAACAAACTCACATACCCAGTGTGGACATTCATTTGTTTGTTGTGTAGTTAAGAAAATCCAGAGAAAATACTGCAATATCTAACTCTGTGAACACGGCATGAAGCTATTGAACTTGATGCTTTCCTCAACTGTCACTTGCTTGGTTACACACATTCCTATGCCAGTTACCCCTGAAAACCAGTTTTCAGGGGATGGAAAGCATTGTGTGGACCTTTGCATGTCCTCACTGTGTATTCACACCCTGCTTTATGTAGATCTTGATATAACTCAAAGTCAGTTAATTTGAAATCGGGTTGATTTTGATCATGTACACAGTAATTGTATATGTCAGCCATTTGAAGTATGACACTGGGACTCTGTAACTTTCATTACCTAGACATTCAGATAAGTTGAAATCCGTTCCCCGAGGTTCGAGTGATCAGGATTGTACTGTATTTCATTCTCAGGTCCACTTAAAAGTATATTTTGTTATGCCCACTTAAATTACATACAATCACTCTACTGCATATGAATATGCACACCTCTGTGTGTACATACATGTACCATGAAATGCACCTTTGCAAAGGAAGGGCCCCCTATCCCTATATCCATTCCAATATTAACTTCAAATGACCATCTAAGACGGTTCCTTTTTATACTAATGAAATTACCATGTGATCTGGCTTCTTACCACCTATACATGTACATGTAGGTGCCAGTCTGAACAATCCTCCAAATAGTATATCACCAGCGCCGATTACTCCAACCAGTCAGGCTAGTGTACCAGTGCCTGGTGGAGGGAGCCAACCTACACCACTCCATCCCCACCCCCTGGCTCAGGTGTCCGGTCCCCACCCTGGACTCATGAAGGGTAAGAATTCACGTTCTATCCATAAACCCCTGCAGCTAGAGTTGTTTCAGGCTACATTTAACGTTCAAGACCTCCCAGACCAGATAGCGCCATAAATGTCTTGTGCACAGAAAAGGAAGGACTAGATGTATGAGGTCGCCAAACCATTTGTAACTGTCATGATATTTCACGATTAAGTTACTGGTACCTCCCAAATCCTCCTGGAACTATATAGCCTGCCTGATGAACTGCAGAAATTTCCCTCTAGATTTGAAGTTTGTGGAAACAGTTTATACAGTATGTGATAACCTACCAAAGATATTCCAGAGTTTTACTGATGACCCAACGGATCTTAAAAAGTCTTGCTGAAGTTACAAATCACCTCATTTGACCACTTACCAGTAACGATCTTGACTAAGGCTGTGGAAGAATTTTTGAGAGCTTTTTAGCTTTGAAAACGTCAGTGATCACCCTAAACCTCATAGTCCCCAAAAGGCAAAGGTCCAGAAATGTTCTGTGGAAGTGTACCAAGATTTGGTAGTACCCATAAATACAACCAGTGTTGTAGTCGTCGAGACTGGTCTTGGTCTCGAGACCAGTTTGAACGTGGTCTTGGTCTCGAACATGCTGGTCTTGGCCTCAAATCATTGGTCTCGGTCTTGGTCTTGATCTCGCACCTCCCGTTCTCGGAATTTTCGGTCGAGACCAGTACAAGACCAATTTAAAAATACACTTTGCACCCTTTTATACCTGATGGGTGATGAATTTTGATTGTTTGTAGGCCTACAAAAAACTTGAATTGAGACTCTGCAAGACGTAGGTACGTCTGTTAAGGACTGTACGTACGACCATTCATTGTGGCTAAGGCTAGCAGTAGCGTGTCATGCGCCAACTTCACCCTTTGCTCGAATTACGTGTGCACCCAAGGTTAAACTTGCGCGGCCGAAATTTAAAGCTTTCGCACTCGCAGTTAAACATTCGCACGCAAAGTTGAAGCTTGCACCAGGAAGAAGATAGCGCATTACAGCCCCCAAAATAATTGTCACTGGTTACCGGCCGTAAAAAGATTTGTCATTTGTTGTTGTCGGGGTAGCTGTGAACCCGTAGTCACATTGTGTGGTCTGGTAACTAGACGCTTATTTATGCACTGTTTGTTGATCTCAAACTTGGCTAACAAGACACCATTCCGTGATAGCGTTTTTGGCACAATGTGTGCCGCCGCGAGCCTTTGCCTTGGTGGTGCGTAAGTTCGTTGACATCATGATTACTGGAAAGTCTTTTCCGGCTATCATGTCTGGCAATTCGGCAATCACACATCATGCATTCAACTATCACAAGGAATACGTTGGTGTCAAAAGGGAAGCAAAAAGATGTCGTTGTGTGTGTTTTTTGCACGAAAAAAACAGCACCAGCGATAACGCAGAAACAACGTCTGCCTTCATCAAACACGTGCGCTGCCATCACCCCGTGAAGTACGTACGTGTACCAGGCTACTTCTAGGAATAATCTTTCAGTCCTCATGTTTGTTTAAATTTTAAAGAATCTAAATTGAAGGCTTAAATGTTAAAAAATCTTAAAACAATCAAAAACTGTTTCGTGTTTCAATTTTTAATGGAATGTGATGCCATGTTTGCATTATACAGTCCCTAGTTTGAAATGAAAATAAATTGGTTTAATTTATCATTTGAAAATGAATTGAGCTGAAATGCGTAAAATTATGAAGTGCCATTATTTTTCGTTCTTAATTTTCATTTAGGCCCAGTTATTTTTTATACTTGTTGCATGCTTTTTTTTTCCTACTTCAAGATATTTTCTTGTTTTTCAAACTCACAAAAGTACATTATATATAACGAGTTTGCCCTTACCCAACGTATATTAATAAACACTGTATGCTCAGTGCNTTCGAACCCACGACCTCCTGCCCACTAGTGCAGATGTCTCAACCACTTGACCACCGAGCTTGCCGGGGTCGGCTGGCCGGTCCGAGTCAAATGAAGCAGCGGGTACCGTGAACTATTTTCAAGATGTACTTTTGCGTTGGGGAGATGTTAATTATAACGGGTTTGCCCTTACCCAACGTATATTAATAAACACTGTATGCTCAGTGCTTGTCCGAGAGCTTGCGAGAAAACCTCACAAGCTTACTCGGGTGGGACTTGAACAAAAGTACATGTAAATCCTATGGGCCTGTCTCCTTGTGAACCTTGTCATAACATTTAACACAGATGGATTACATGCATGTGCTGCCTGCCATACCAGGCAGTAACAACAAAAACAATGCTAAATTCCGGGACAATTCTGTCAGACTAACGCATACATGTTGTTCTGTGGTTTATAGCCCATCTTCACATTTTTGTGTCAATGTACAGAGATGATTTCTGTCCAATTATTTACAAATGTGGTATTGGTGTTGGTCTTGGTCAGGGACGGCTGGTCTTGGTCTCGGTGTTGGGTTACTTTGTCTGGTCTGGTCTTGGTCTGTTGGTCTCGGTCTTGGTCTTGGACTGCCTGGTCTTGACTACAACACTGACCTCTACCTTGCTGAGGACTGATATCAAACCCGAGAGCCTTGCCAACTGTCTGACAGACCCTTGGAACCAGAATGAGAAGGCATCCCAATGTTTAACGTTCTAAAGTTTTAGATTAGCAGCACATTTGAAAACCTCACAGACCATCAACAAAATGGCAAAGAACCTTGAAACAGATCTCAGTAACCTCTCTAGACATAACCACTGTCTTTTTAAAAAAAAGTGCTCAGGCATCGAGCACTTGGTTCAAACCTGTCTTTACCTCACACGGGATTTCAAACACCTAACAGATTCAGTACTTGACCAAATGCTGTAAATTTTGTAGTTGACCTTGCATATCTTTGGTTCATAATGTGTTACTACTACTGTTCTATTCAGGTCCCGAGTCCTCTCACCCAGGCACTGTTCCCACCCAGCCAAGGCCATTACCCCAGGCCCCAGGCCACGCTACGATCCCTGTAAAGGTGGGATCTCACGGTGTCACGTTTCAGCCAGCCTACTTTCCTCAAGGTGCTGTGTCTCCCGCGAGGTTGACTGTAGGGAATTACTCACCCCAGTCAGGTGCCTCGCCTGTCCAGCTTTTGCCCCACCACACGTTTCAAGGGACTCCTTTAGTTACTGTCAATCCTGGGAAGCCAGGCATGCAACACCCTGCAAGCTTAATGGTGCAGCCCGTTGGACAAACACCACAGCAGCAGTTGGGAGTTCAGCAGCAGGCGCAGCAGCCAATCAGAATGCAAGGTCCTGGCCACCAATCCCAAGCCGGTGTGGTGAAACCAGTACCCACTCATGCGGATCCCCACTCCCCCGCATATCCTCAGCAACAGCCGACAAGCGTCTCTGCCAATGAGAACACGTCCAACGCCAGACTGTATCCGGCATCAGCACCTCAGCAGCAGAGTGCAAGTGTGGCCCAAGGACACACCCCTGGATTTCACGTTGTCACGCCGCGGCCATTTCAAACAGCCCCGGTGCCGATCGCAGCCCCGGGGAGATCGCACCCGGGCCCCCAGGTGATGGGCTCCCCATCGCAACCTCCCAACCTCCGACCCAGGGTTCCGTTCCCTGGGCAGCAGCATGGACAACCTCCACCCCAGGGCTTCCCAGCGAGGCCCCAGAATGCCTTCGAGGCGTTACTAATGTGGTGTCATCAAAGGGGTCTGCCGCAACCACTGTGCCATTACCAGAGAAATAATACCACGGTGAGATGATGTTCCATGAAACGTTATCACAGGGTTTTCACAGTGATAGTCGGAATGATCTCAAAATGTTCCACACTACACTCTATTATCCAACACGCTGTTCATTGAAAAGTTGCGCCATTTTCATCTCAGCATCGCTCACTTGCAGTAGTCTGCATGCTGAACAAATGTGTCTTCATAAGCACTGGATCATGTTTTGTGATGCTGTAAGGGAATGAATGATATAAACTACAACTTTTCTCGACTAATTTGGTTGGTTTATGATGCATAAGAAGTAAAGGCCTTCATGTTTTTGACCTGATCAGTGTATCAAATAAAATTTCACTGAGATTGAAGGTGGTTTTTCTGAGGATTTACACATAACATTTACACTGTTTTTGTTCTTACTTCATTAGTATACTCAAAAAAAGGAAGACTTCTTACAACTTGAAAGCAATGATAATTTCTGTTAAACTCTGACATTTTGAGATTTTCTTTCACTATTTTGGAACTTCAGGGTCAGGTACGGGGTATGGTGCAATTGGCTAACGGTCAGCAGTTCTTTGGTCCAGACTGCCCATCAGATGTCATAGCCGTAGATGCTGCAGCCCACATGGCAATGACAAACTTAGTGAGTACAGGCAACAGGCTTACATTTTCCGGGATGGCTCGGGTGACTAGTGAGGAAAACTCCCACTGCTGTGGCCCGTGTTCAATTCCAGCATGTCCGTTTGTGGGACATGGCAGAGGTCTGAACAAAATGTGGATTTTGACTGAAGTGGATAATGTTGGTATCTTGCATCCTGAATTCCACTGCTTTTATGGTTTGCCATTTCCCGGAAAAACAAGGTTCCCAGCCATCCTGGAAATAAGGGAAAACCTGGAAACAGGCAGAGAACTTGAGAAAAAAAAGCTTCAAATCAGAGAAGAGTCAGGGAATTTGATTAGCCCTTAAAGACAGAATGGTCAGCCTGTTATACTTGTATTTTGTCTCATGTCCAAACAACATATCCATTGGATGATTGGCTGTGGTTGCTTTTATATGCGTCAAACTGGAAACATGTCAAAATAATGATCCTGGAATTTTGAAAATTCATCGGGCAAAAACCAGGGAATTTGGTTTTCCATAAAACGTTGGGAATCCTGATACAGGAAAAAATATTCAAGTCCAGCCCAAGCTGTTGTGGCTTCTTTGTATCAGTCTAGTATTTATGTGCATTTCTTTTCACATGAAATGATACGTTGGTCCCTCACAGGATGTTTCCAGCTAACGCCAGAGCTAACTTGTATTTCAGGGTAGGGAGGGGCTAATTGTTGTGAGGTAGCTTGCTCAGGGACATAGCCCATGACCAGCAGATGGATTTGAAGTTACAATGGCCCTCTCCGTCCCACTGTGTTAAGTTTGGAACCTTTTCCATTTTTGAGCTTCCAAAGGCCTACAGATTGGAACGTTTTGATTTTTTGGGGGGGATCCCAAAAATGTCTTGTACGCTGCACACCGTCTAGAAGGTTCGTTCACCCTCAGTAAACATGCAGATTCCCTGATCACAAGTGATCTTGAAGAATGTGAAACATTAGTCAACCCACATGTACATGCACTGCTAGGGGTTGAGTGGGAAATCATTGCTACACAGGCACTGAGTGGCTGTTTCCGTCTGCAGGCAAAACACCTGGTTTTCTTATGCTTGTCCAGTGACAAAAAAACCAAAAAACAGCTGTTGGGATCTGTACGTGATTTGACTGTCTGGTTCCCAGTCCTCGTGATCATGTTCATCATGCGTTCGACCATCTATCAATGAATTGGTGTGGTAAACCAATAGCAGCTCTGGTGTTCCTTTTTTCCAAGTTTCCAATGTTCACAGGTACGGATTTAACATTCAGAGCACAAATCTTGTAACATACGTTTTTATTGTGCTTTATTTAGACATCGCAATCACCAAGAAGTCCCATGATGCAACAGATGAGGCCTACCACGCGCCCAACACTCGGTAATCTCTCGCCCATGTCCTTCAGTAGCTTAACCTTAAAAGAGGCAGGCTGTCTTGGACCATCTCACAGCCCCCTTCCCCAGTAACTTGCCATGCCCTTTTTTTTTTTAAACTTGGCATGCACGTAGAGACACAACTTTAACCACTACCAGCC